CGAGGCGGAAGGATCGCCGGAGCCCGGCGGGTCGAGGCTGTGGTGGCCCTGAGCCTGCCGCGGCCCGCCGGCCTGGGCTTCCGAGTGAGACCGTGACTCAGAAAAACGGAAGCAAAACCAAAAATAAGCCATCCCTTCAACTCCGGGACCATCCCTGAGCCAAAGCCTCCTGCCGGCAGAGTTTGCCCCGTGTCTCCTGCCTGTTTTCTCTGCCACTTCCACTCTCTGTCAGTTCCGCTGTATCTCCCTCCACCTGTCCTCCACCCTGACCCAAAGCCTTCAGGTGGCAGAGTTTTCTGTGGATCAGACTGCATCAGGAAGGCGATGCTTTGATTGAAACTGAATTTCGCAAACGGTGGGCTTGGCTGGGTGTGGCAGGTCATGCCTGTTCATCTCAGCACTCTAGGAGGCCGAGGCAGGAGGATTGCTGGAGCCCAGGAGTTCAAGACCAGCCTGGGCAACGCAGCAACACCTTGTCTCTAAAGAAAAAAAGTCAAAATTGAGTCAGGCGTGGTGGCACGTGCCTGTAGTCCCAGCTACTTGGGATGCCGAGGTGGAAGGACCGCCTGAGCCCAGGAGGTCAAGGATGCCGTGAGTGGCGAGCGTCATGGTCCTGCGACTGCACTCCAGCCTGGGCGAGTAGACCCTGATTCAAAAATGTATCTCAATGAAAACAGATTTTTAAATCATGGACTTCCTGGCACCGTGTGGCGTCCAGGTAGAGCGATTTGGGGGGGCAGAGAACCCCTCCGCATATCCTGAAAACATTCTGAACAGAGAGAGGGATTTCTCTCATTTCAGCTCTTCTCTCTTTCTCCTTCCTGTGTTCAACTAATTAACTTCCTGCAGTCCTCACTTTCCTGAGATGTATCTTGACCCTTGAAGACAAAGGAACAAGCACCTGGCCTCTTCTTTTCTGGGCCATCTCTTTTAACTTTCTCTTTCTTTTCTTTTTTTTTGAGTCAAGTCTCACTCTGTCTCTGTCTCCCACGCTCACGGCCACCACAGCCTCAACCTGCTGGGCTCAGCGATCCTTCCGCTTCAGCCTTCCGAGTAGTTGGAACCACAGGCACACGCCACCACGTCTGGGTGATTCTTTGATGTATTGTAGAGACGAGGTCTCGACATGTTGCCCAGGCTGGTCTCGAACGCGTGGGCTTCCGGCAACCCTCTCACCTCGGCCTCCCAGGGTACCGGGATTACAGGCGGGAGCCACCATACCCTGCTTAATTTTATCTGTCATTGTTTGCTTTGGTTTCTGTAGAGATGGAGGGGCCTCGCCACGGTGCCCAGGTTGGTCTCGAACTCCTGGCTTCGAGCGACCCTCCCGTCACAGCCTCCCAAGGTGCTGGGGTCAGGGGCCTGAGCCCCCACCCAGGCTTCTGACTGCCCCTCCTTTCTCACTTTTGGCTTTCCTCCCACGTGTCCTCCGGGGCTTTCCTGGAACCCCTGTGTCCCGCGGTCTCACAGCGGAGGCTTGCTGGGGAAGAGGCCGTCAGGACAGCGCGGCCAGGTCACTACTCACCAGGCACACACGGAGGAGCCTCTTCCTCGTGGGGTCTGCCTTCCCAGGTCCTGGGGGCTGCGCAGCTGAGTGTCCCTGAGGGCCAGAACAGGGGAGGCAAGGGTCAGACTCAGGCTTGGAAGGGTGGGGTTGGCACGTGGGTGCTCGGGGCCTTCAGGCCGGGGGTGGGAGTGAGGCCGGCGTACGCCGCTTCCTCGGTAGGCGGGGACTCACCTGCTGGCGCTGCTTGATAAAAGGGTTCCCGGCAGTGGTTCTGGGCCTCGGAGGGGTCGTCTTCAGGTGTGCAGATGGCCTCGGAGTCCCGGCTGGCCTGGCTGAGTGGCTGACTGTGGTTCACAGCTGTAGGGAATCAGCCGTCACCAGGCCCTCGCCCAGACGCGCACCCGGGCAGCCCGGGGCGGATCCCGGCCCATGGCTGTATTTAGTTTGGCCCGCACAGTGTTTTTTCGTTGTTGTTGTTGTTTGTTTTTTGAGTTGGAGTTTCATGCTGTTGCCCAGGCGGGAGTGCGGTGGCATGCTTGTAGCTCACCGCAGTCTCGACCTCCTGCGCTCAGGTGATCCTTCCACTTCGGCCTCCCGAGTAGCTGGGATTACAGGCATGCACCACCAAGCCCAGCTAATTTTTTGTAGACGTGAGGTCTTGCTATGTTGCCTAGGCTGGTCTCGAACTTCTGGGCTCAAGCAATCCTCCTGCCTTGGCCTGTCAAAGTTCTGGGATCACAGACGTGAGCCCCTCATCCAGCCATGACCTGCCCAGTGTTTTTTTTTAATTTGATCTAGTTTTCCTCGATCAGATTGTAACACTCAAAGAGTTTGAAGATAGCTGTGATAAGTAGGGTATGGGAAACAGGCACTTCCGGGCATGGTCAGTGGGAGTGCAAGTTAGCAAAAGCTTTTTGGAGGAAAATGTAGCAATATTAAAATTAATTATACAAATTTTTTTTTTTGATTTGAAGTCTCGCTCTGTTGCCCCAGACTGGAGTTCAGTGGCCGCTCCCGGCCACCGCAGCCTTGCCCTGCTGGGCTCCGGCGATCCTTCCGCCTCAACCTTCCAAGTAGCCGGAACTACA